GTGAGTTTATGTCCTCTGATTGCGACGGGCAAGCAAAAGATAACTGACGACGTTCCCTCCAATACGCAGCACCCTTTGAGGAATACTAGAACTTTCTTCTATTGATCGTTTGATGTAGTCATGAGGAACTAAATCTTTATACTGGATGCATCTCACAAACGATATTAGTTTCCCATCGCAGCTCTACATAAGTTTTAGTCTAGGAGAAGTGAATATTCCGCCCTGACTGCACAGCTCTCAGACTGCGGAATTCGGGACCAGAGATATATAAAAGGCCCTAGAGCCTTTAGTTCTCATCATCAGAATGTAAAAGTTGATTGGAATACCACCCGAGAAATAGGACCTGTGTTTCCATACCCACCATCGTCGATTCCCCCACAACATAAAACGTAAGTGTAATAGAAAGGTAGGATTAAGATATTTCTCAATGGTGCTCTTTGACTGCTCACTGTCAATGAATGAACATAATTGTTCGAGTGTTCTTGTTGTCATTTCCCCCTTCTACTCATATATAATATCGTATAGCAACGAAAGTTATTATCATAACACAGTATCACAATATGATAGAGTTCTCAATCCTTGGCTACTAGTTGGAGCCAAGGTTTTTAACATGCCGTGATCTTATGGATTCTTATCCACTGGATGGCACCAATGCCTTTGATATTCTCTATCCTTATGAATTGAACCTTGATAGAAAATAGTATATCGCGCTCTTATACCCTCGGATGGAAAATTCCCTTCCTGACTTCTAAGTGTGATCGAAGCCTATTCACCAGCCTATAGATATGTCGATTAGTACATTCACCACTTTAGATCTACGGACCTCGCAAAATGCTGATTCTATATCTCTGCCCCGAAGCACAAGCCAATCATTCTCTGTGACTAACTCTATTATCTCCATATCTATCACTCACTCCTATCCTTATGTACACAGTCATAAATATTAGACTTTTAGCACTCACAAATACGACAGTCACACATACACATAAATATCAAATCCAGCAATCTACAATCAGATAAACCACAGAATATTTCCATTTATCAGCTGATGAAAATCTATTTACCGTAGTTAGGAATGTCTCTAAACTTTCATAGATGACGAGGAGACTTGGGGTGAACTCGGGTCTACATAGGCCACTATTGCGAAAGGGCTCGATGGCGGAGGCTGCTTTCGAGACTTCTAATTCGAATTTGCTCATCTTATCATCGACCTCTTCGGAGAAAGTTTTGGGGGTGGGCTCGTTGATTGCTATGAGACATGTTCTTTGGAAGTGCAAGCGTCGATGTAGTAGTATGTTGAGTATGGATACGTTGAGTATTGATGCGTTGAAATGTAATACCTTAGCTATTGCTATGCTGGTGTATCAGTGTATACATCAAAAAGAAAAGACCTCGAGAAATGAGCGAATCCAAAAGACCAAGTAAACCCAATTCGCCTGGCAAAATAAAACCATTCATCGAGGAAATATCGATCCAGAATCACATCTCCAAATGAATCTTGACGATATCACGAGTCATTCCATTCGCTGGACGAATTTTACCAACCTTCCTGTGGTGATATTTGTTATTGTTGTTTCGATATACATGGTGATTTTAGTTTCGGTTGTTCGTTCGGATTTGATCTAGATAGATAATAAAGTGTTATTGTCCCATCCATCCGAGACACTCACTCATGTATCTATCTAGCAATATCCCACTCAGGTTGAACTTGAATATCATCTACGTATAATCAATCACTCAGATCAAGACAAAGATCAGATCAATTACTCAACTCCTCATTATCTCATTTCCATGTATTCCCTACATTCATCCATTCCATCCACATCCCTTTTTCATATCCTTATTCCCAAACTCTAGATTTTATAAACCAAATCTCCCTCCGTATACATGATATCATTCCGCTCGTCCATTGCCCTCAACGCTGCTACCGCTTCCTCCCTCTCAAAACTACCTCCTGCACCACCTCCAATCCGTCTATTGACCGCCTCGATAATAGCATTGACCTCCGCACTATCATCCTCAAACAGAGAGGTATTCATCATTTGACCCATCGTTGTACGGAAGACTTGTAGACGATTAGGTGTAATACCCGTCGAGACATTGAGAGCTGCAGTTCCAGCTGCAAGTTCTTCTTCTTCATCGCCCTCCTCTACATTCTGTGATTGAGACTGTGATTGACTCGACGTACCTCTCAATGCCTGAGAAGCAGGTAAGGAGGAAGCGAAAGACGTTTGGGATTGTGTTGGTACGCGACTTGAGGATGCTCTTCCTGGACGACGTGCTGGGCTGGCTGAATAAAGATCATCTTCCTCCTCATCATTTGGCGCCCCGCTTGGAGTCGCACCATTTCTTCTAGAAGAAGAAGTACCTGAAGCTCTTGTTCTTGCAGTACCTGGTGTACGAGTTGCCCTCGTTGATGGTGCGTGAGAAGTAGGAGCTGGTGAATCATCATCATCTGAGGATGAACTCTCGTTTCCTGAAGATTCGTCTTCAAGAGGTCTAGTCTTTCTCCTCTTTGATTTCTTTTCATCCTCAAGCACTTCCTTGAACAGTGCAAACCTCAAAATACTCTCAGCAGCCAATGCATCTACTTCCTCAACTCTATTACTTAATCTGGACTTTGCATGCGCAGTACTCAAACGAATAATGGTTTCTAACGTTCTAACTGTCATGGCGTTTGTCTTTCGTTGATTGCCTTGCATGTCGTCATTTCTTAGCGCTACGTATATCTCGCTAATTCTATCACTAGCTTCTTGAGTCAAGACTGGCTTTACTCGAGTTTTGGCGTATTGAATATATTTCTTCATGAAAGGGATACTGAGAACTTCAACCCTGCGATGTGATCCTCGGCCAGTAGTAACAGTTACACCGGCGTGTAACATCTCGTTATATTTTTCGTAGACAGATGTTACTTGGTTGGCATCTGCTTCTTGCTCAACACCTACACCGAGTGTTTGATGTGCTTGTTCACGGACGGGAGCTCCCTCTTCAGTTTGTGGATCTCTATATCGGTGCATTCTTAAAACGTGCTCAGATATTTGTCGATCCCTGAAATCATCAATATCATCTGTCACTACGAACAATAAATCAAAACGAGAAAGGAGAGAATCTGGAAGGGCGATATTCTTGTGAGGGTCTTTGTGAGTATCGTATTGACCGAAGATAGGATTTGCGGCCGCGATGACGGAACAGCGAGCGTTGAGAGAGGTATGAATACCAGCTTTGGCAATAGTGACTGTTTGTTGTTCCATAACTTCGTGAATGGCAACTCTGTCTATGTCGGACATTTTATCGAATTCATCAATACATACCACACCGCGATCAGCTAGAACCATAGCACCAGCTTCGAGACGACGTTCACCGGTTTCTTTATCGGATGTAACGGCGGCTGTGAGACCAACACCGGAAGAACCTCGACCTGTTGTTGCAATTGCGAGGGGGGCGGTATTGAGCACGAAACGAAGAACTTGAGATTTGGCTGTGGATGGATCACCAACCATAAGGATATTAATATCTCCTCTCAAATGTGTTCCGTTCTCGAGATTTTTTTCGAGGCCACCTAGCAACATAAGAAGGATTGCTTTTTTGATATGTTCGTGCCCATAAATACTTGGAGCTAAGGATTGAGAAAGAAGATTGAAAAGATTCTTCTTCTTTGCAATCTTGTTGATGTTTCGAATGTCGGTATCGGTAATGGTATGTGTCGCAATGCCTCCTCCTGATTTTGAAGATAAAAGTACCACATTATTAGCTAACACCACTGTCTTGAAAAGTGCACTGCTATGTCCTGCATTTCTATTTCCCAAACTCCTGTAAATTCCAACAAGCTGTACTCGATCACCAGGTTTAACTTTATCAACCAAATCATCATCTAAAATGACATCCACACCTCTTGGAAGTTGTCCTGCCGGTGCTCGTTCCGGCATTTCTTGAATAGATATCGTTTGATGATCTCTGTATGTGCTGTATCCATATTCTGTAACCAACGGGTTTCCCTGTTCATCTTCCTGCGGATAAACACTCGAAGTACTGGCTCCACTAGCAGTCATTGTTTGATCCTTGTATTCGCGGAAGTGAAATATCTTCTTCTTCTCGTTATAATGCACACTTTTGACCACCTTTGGTCTCACTAATGAACATCTTGTGACAATTCCCTCCAAACTAACCATCCTGTTCAAGTGCGTACTCGATAACGTCCTAGGATTGCATGCAAATTGACCAAAACTTCCAGAAAATGCACAATAGTACATAGTATCTTCAGATGATTGCTTAGCATTGGTATTTGGAAGTGTTTGTACGATTTGAAATAGTGCGCGATCGAAGGCTTGAGCAAAATCAAATGGTTGCTCCAGAAGGCCATTTGCCAATTCAGGGTTGTGCGCACGAACTTCATCGATACTGACGATTAAACGTCGTTGATGCTTTCGAAGCATATCAGTAATTTCGGATCGATAACTTCTTGCGGCGCCATCAGCTGTGATTATTTATATTAGTGCTTGTAGGTAAATAAAGGGGATTGACAGGAAAAAATACTTGGATCAAGAAATTCCTGTGCAGACCGCACACGATCGGCGACAGCCTCATCTCTTAATTGTGCGCCGTCCATTATAGAAAGTATATCAAGTTATGAACAGGCGTGGTGCTAAGGTTTTAATCTGAAAGTATGTATGGTGGTTTGTATTTGAAGGTAAAGAGGGGCGATATGGGGTTGCTGTGGTGTTGACAATCGCGAAATTTCAATTCAAAAGGAGATATCGCGTAGAAACGCGGTTTGTGCGCGTAAAGTGTTTTTGTTTATCACGTGGTATCCTTCTCTTGCTTCCTCGGCTGCTCAACTATCCATCTTGTACCCACAGATTAATGAGACGTACTACACGATCAACTCCCTAATCTTCTGATTTCAAATGTCACATTTAAACCTCATCATTCAGGGACTTACACAAAAGTTATTGCGCACAACAAAAAGACCCCTCCCTGAAAACCAGATCTAGGTGGGTAGGTAGTAAGGATATGAATTATGTATTGATAAGATTATATATAAGCGAAGTAAAATATTATCTTGATTAAGGTCCTTTTCGATTTCTGCCTTTTTCTGTAGCTTTCCCCCATTGAGAAAATTACCCCCTTTTCTTCTAGTCCTTTTGTCCCCATCGCCAATTTCCCTGCATTTGCTTTCCGAAAACCGGCGCTAGCTCATCTACCTAGATGGACATTCACTAGGTGCAATGTCTACTCTCGCCATGAACTCCCTCAGTCTCTCCTGAACCACTACTCCATTCCACGTTTCCATTTCCCTTGTGTCATCTTCCTCTTCTTCTCCCTCACCCTCCTCCACCCAGTCATCTTCCTCCCCTTCTGTCCCCTCAAGCTCTTCCAAAACACCGAGTTTCGGTACTCCCACTTGTTCAATGGCAAAACTAGCTGCTACACTACCCCAACAACTAGCTTCTATGATTCCTTTTCCCCTTGCCAACCCAACTGCCAAACCACCTAAGAATGCATTTCCGCCTCCTGTCGGATCTACCACTTTATGCTCCTCCTCCCCCTCTCCAGCTTGATGATAAGCCGGAATCCATTTCTCAATCCCCGGGTCGACAGGAACATAGTCATTTCTTTCAAAACTTATTTCTCCAGAATCACTAAGTAATCCTGCGAACAAATCTTCCATATTCATATCTAGTGTCAACCCGCCTCTAGATCTATTTGCCGGGCGTTTTCTTCTATTTTTCTCCGCACGCCTATTTCTTCCTCCGTTCTTCGCAACATAACACCCTAATGCTCCACATCTGACAACAATTGCGTAAGATTGCAATGGCATTGAAGATAGGAGTTGTTCACAAGAACGTTCTACTGCTTCCGTTGATATTTCTCCTTCAGGAGTCATACCGGAATCAGGATCACCCATGAAACCTGCAAGCTCCGAGTGATTTGGTGAGAGAACGTCGATATATGGAAGGACATTTGTACAATTTAAAAGTTCATCTGGTGTACAAAGATCTGGGACTGGTTCCCATATGAAAAGTGGTTTGGGATGATTGGGGGAATGTGATTTTCGAAGTGAGAGAATGCGTGTTACAAGATCTATACAGCGATTTGGGGAACATATGAGGTGGAAAGATTTTGCGAATAAAAGAGGAGGATGAGAAGCAATAGATGTTTCATCCAGTCGGAGTTTGGGGGTTGTGTACTTGAATGAGCGGGTTTCGTTGCTGTCGTAGCCGTTCCAGCCGCGAGTAGTTAGACGGGTAGGATCGGTACGGATTAGACAAGAAGTTTGCCAGGTGGATATTTGAGATGAGATGGAGGGGGGGAAGTCGGAGCCTTTATCCACTATCCAGGAGATTGTTTTGGAGAGCGGTGGAGGAGAGAAGAGGCGAGCTCCTAAGGCGGAATAGGAACCGGCACCACCCAGGACATCATATACTGAGGGGGTTGGTGGGAGGTAGTGTATCTCATCTACATTGGAATGTTAATGATTATGTCGAAACAGAACGTGACGATGAGTTTGTACATAAGAAAACAAAGTATGATTACGGCCATCTTCTTAGATATATCATCCCTGAACATGAAGGTAAAATCCCGGGTTATACCGGATAAGAAATCGTAACGCCCATTTTTGTAAACAATGAGCTTGAAAATTTTGTTATCTCTCTTTACCACAAGATAATTTGCGAGTTCATGATAACTTCAAAAGGTATATGTTGTGGTTGAAGAGTTAGATGTGGTCTCACCAAATCTGAAGTATGCACCTCATGCATGAACAACGTAAACATCCCAACTGTTTCACGAATCTTGCCAACAGTTACTACTTGAAAATAGTAAACAGTTCTATATAGAATTCAAACATCACTAGATGTAAGATAGAGACCAAAATCAAGTATCAAATTCATGGAAAATTCGGTCGACTTTGACATAATCTTCCAAGTTGTTCTGATATCTATAAACCCCTCCTTTCTAAAGAAACAATATAAAAGATACATGAGTAAACACCACTTTATACATACCAATTATGAACATTCCCAGAGTACAAAAATCGATTTCTTGATTGTTAGATATTTGATCATCTTGGTCCATGTTTCGAATGAGTGTATAATGTATGGAAAAGAAAGACGTGAGGTGTGAATTGTATACCTCGATGTTGGTAGCTTTATACTCTCAAGGGAATGAATGAGGTTAACAAGAAATGAAATGAGAGGAGAGTACGAGCAGAACCAGGTAGGTACGAGATAAACACATAAGGCTGAATACAAATGAAGTGACAGCAGCCCATCAGCCCACCAGGTACTCCGTAGCCCACCAAATGTTAGCCAGGTGTCACACCATACCAAACGGGTTAGTGGCAGCCTTGTCTCGTTGTATATATCATAATTCTCTTAATATAACTAACCTATAACTTATATAAGTTAACGTTAATAAGTTATACAGAGTAGATTATATTTGGATCATGTTGGGATTATGTAATTAGGCCAAGTTACCGAAGGAGGAAGGAGGAAGGAGAAAAAATGGGTCAGGGTAAGGCATCCAAATGAAGGAGGGAGTGAAGCTTGAACTGTGAGTGGGTGTAAAGTGCTTGCGTGGATTTATTAGGTAGGTAGATGAATTAAATGAAGAACATCATCGCCTCACCTCGACACTTATTCTCTCGTACCCTTACACACACTCTCTCGACTTGCTTGCTTCATTGTATAAGAGCTCTTTCTCGTCGCTCCATACCGATCTGGTGAATTGATCGATAGCTTCTTTTGTCTACCTGCTAACATTCTATATTACATTATTTATATGCGTAATTAGCAACCTTTTACCTCCTTCCCCTTGCATTAGCACAACGAAACATCCAAAATCAGACAGCTCCATACTCTCAAACAACCTCCTATTCGATCGATCATTCCTTCTTCAACAAGAACTGGGATCAATTCCTGCACTTCAACATGTCTCAACGACCTGAAGCTGTAAATAATATGCATAATTTGACGACGCTCATAAAACGGTAATTGTGCTTCATATTTCTGTCCTTTCAATATCACAACTCAATACTACAACACAACTCCACTTCCATCTACCTCCAGAATCTCCATTGCATACATTGATTTACATACACATCCCATTTCTTTTCTGGAAATTAAATCAACATGTCATCAATCGATCCTCGCATAACCAGCACCGAGCTAACCTTCATAATCTCCAGACTCGAAGCCGCAACCTCTCGTCTTGAAGATATAGCTTCCTCTACAATTCCGCCTCCTCCTTCATCATCCATCCCTCTAATCTCTCCTCCGGTCGAAGCTGCGAAAGCAAATGGTACAGCTCCGCCACCAACAATCCAAACACCAGATATCAAAAAGATCATCGAGGATCCAATCCCAGGAGTAGTCTCAGAATTCGATAATTTTATTCAGGGGGCGGTTAAGAAATATGTCAACTTAAGTGATGAAATTGGAGGGGTCGTTGCGCAGCAGGTAGGTTCAAGGGTCTCATTGATTTCATCGTGGCATGGTGGGGGTGGATAGATGCATGCATGGCACAAGATGGAGTGGATGAGGGGCATCTCATGTTCGAATATTCTATCCTCACGGCAAAGGTAGGGGTGGGCAGGAAAATATGAGGGAAGCTCTATATCAATTGGTTAAGCGGTTGATTGATGGAAGGTGTCATGATGGGGGCAAGCCCCCAAACCCCCATATCTCACTGCGCTCGAAGTAGCTCTATGCGAATAGCCTGCCTCCGCGGCAGCGGCCCTCGGAGAGCCAGCGGAGCGTCATTTAACCGAGTGATAGGAAATCGAAGCTAACTTATTCATCGAAGGCATCTAGTGTATTGAAGGCATATGTCGGACAACGAAGATATATTTTGATTACTACAAAGTCAAAGAAACCTGGCATGCAGGATGAACCATTCCAAAAGCTCATCAAACCTCTCCAGGATTCATTTACTGCTGTTGATGATATCCGAAAGTCCAATCGTGCATCACCGTTTTTCAATCATCTCAGTGCAGTTTCTGAAAGTATTGGTGTACTTGCTTGGGTTACAATGGATAACAAGCCATATAAACATGTCGATGAATCATTGGGATCTGCTCAATACTACGGAAACAGAGTATTGAAGGAATTCAAGGAGAAGTAGGTTTTATAATATAATTATCGTAGATGGTCATTAATTTTTGTTTACAGGGACCCAAAACAAGTCGAATGGATTCAAGCATTCTATCAAATCTTTAAAGATCTCAGCGAATATGCTAAGGATAACTTCCCAAATGGTATTCCATGGAATCCAAAGGGTGAAGATTTGGAAGTTGCGATCAATAATGTTGATCAAAAGGCTCCAGCCCCTCAAGCTCCTCATCCAAAGGCTGCAACTGCCGGAGGAGCCGCACCACCACCACCTCCTCCACCTCCACCACCACCAGTCTTCGATGACATCCCATCAAAGCCAGCACCAAAACAAGCAGATGCAGGTGCTGGATTAGGAGCCGTTTTCTCCGAATTGAATAAGGGAGCAGATGTTACAAAAGGATTGCGCAAAGTGAATGCTGATCAAATGACACATAAAAATCCTTCTTTGAGAGCTGGTGCTACAGTTCCTACTAGAAGTGATAGTCAATCCAGTATTAGTTCGAACCGAGGGAAGAGTCCTGCTCCTGGTAAAAAACCTAAGCCAGAGAGTATGAGAACTAAGAAGCCTCCTGTTAAAAAATTGGAGGGTAACAAGTGGTTTATTGTGAGTTACCCTTTCGTTTGAGTGGGAGTAGTTAGGTACTAATATTTCGGAAAAGGAAAACTACGAAAATGAATCCGAGCCAATCACAATTGAAGCATCCATTTCACATTCAATTCTCATTTCCCGCTGCTCAAAAACTACCATTATCATTAAAGGAAAAGCAAACGCAATTTCTATTGATAACTCCCCTCGTCTTGCCTTGGTAATTGATAGTCTCGTCTCATCGATTGATGTTATCAAAGCACCAAACTTCGCACTTCAAGTATTAGGCACATTGCCAACTATTATGATGGATCAAGTTGATGGTGCTCAAATTTACTTAGGGAAGGAGAGTCTGAACACGGAAGTCTTCACGAGTAAATGTAGTAGTGTAAATGTACTACTTCCAGATTTGGAAAGTGCCGATGGTGAAGGAGATTATAAGGAGGTACCTCTGCCTGAACAGTTGAGGACTTGGGTGGAGAACGGAAAGGTCAAGAGTGAGATTGTTGAACATGCTGGATAGATTAGTTTAGATGGACTATGGGTTTTGGTGAAAGCTTTTTGGGATGAGGGGGTAATGAGATGTGATGGAGAATTTCAGTGGATTTGAAATGATAGATATGGTGAAGTGAAGTCTTATATCATCGTATATTAGTTGGAGTCTCCAGGCCGGTCAGAGGTCAAGTTTGAACTGTATATATATATATATATATATGTATGTATGTACGCTCGAGACTTTTTCTGTCTGGCTGTCTGGTAGATTTAAAACGGAGATTTTCTACTCATCATATCGTGCCGTGTGTTTCATGGGGTGGTATGTCACTCTTCTCTATTTCTTTATTTTTCCCCGTCTTTCCTTTCAGGGCTGTAAATCAAGACTGAGTTCGCCTGAAAAGGGGTGGGGTGAAAATGGCCCATATCCTCCTACGGACTTTACGAAGAGTTACTCGTATTTGAATCAGAGTCAGAATCATATGACTAGACTTGACTTGACTGATGCAAAGGAGGGGCAACAGTTTAGATATATATAGCGTATACAATATACATAGGGTCTGAAAGTCGGAGGGGCCAGCTCGGGAGCAATAAGAGCGTGCTCTGCTATGTACTCCCTCTTTTTATTCTTTCTCTTTGGTAGTATTATCTTCACTTTCGATTTATATAACTTATGTTTTGATTAACAGTAAGTTATATGATGTATAACTGCGTGATTGGATAATTAGATTTCTAGTTAATTAATCGAAATAACTAGGTATCCTGGATAGTTAAGTTGGTAGCTTTTATTTGGGTTTGGGGTTTCCTTCTCATATGAATTTGCGATTTCAACTCGGTTGATTGGTGAAGAGAGATAATTAGATAATTGTGAGATGGTTGTGCGTGGATTATACGCTGGATTCTTTTCACTGTGGATTATATTATGTTGTTTTGTACTAATCTACTCGTAGTTGTTTCAGGAGCGTTGGGATCGGGGAAAACAATCTATCTGTGTGATTATTGGATTAGCATTTGGTACTTGTTTTTTCGATGTAGTCTTGATTCTTTGGGGGTGGGAGAGAGGGGATAAAGAGAATTGTAAGAGTTTGAGTAAGGTTAATCCCGAGGATTTGATTGTGAGATCTTGCGAGTCAGTTTGTGGTGGGAGATCATTTTTTGGGGGAGGGTTGGGTGTTGGAGTTGGAGTTGATGGGGATGGGAATGGAATAGAATATCTTGTCAAGAATGGTGGGATGGTAAAAGGGTGTTAGAGCCGAGTAGTGAGAAGAAAGCAGATTGTAATCTTATTACTATTCTTGTCAGATCATCTATCACCTGATGTATCTTGGGAATGATATGGCATCTAGAATAGCTATTTGAGAGAGTGATCACTAATAGGATGATTGTGTTGTTGGTCAAGATGTTATTATCTATACATAACTATATATATATATATATATCTGTTGCTCCGCTGCTCCGCTGCTTCTTCATGGGAATAATCTAATTCGGGAGATTAGGGATTTGATATATATGAATCTGTATGAATCTGGATTCGGGAGTCTGGAGAGACTTTTCAGAAGATTAAAAAGGAGGTCTTGGATTATCTTATTTCTTTGAGGAGGGATGTTACTCGGTGGGAGCTTCATGACTACCTCTCTGGAGTGATGGACTTCTTGCAAGCTTGGGTTAGGTTCGGAGTTGTATTGTTCCTGTTTCTTCTAATTACTGGTGGAGAAAACTACGTTGAGGAGCTTTTTCGGGAGTTTTTGGTATAATGAGTATTTCGAGGGGAGTATTACGATTTTGAGTTCTTTGACTTCTGTTCTGGTGTGATGAGAGTGCATTCAAAGTTTTTGGGGGGTTTGACCTCTTGGCTTCGTGGTCTCCGTTTTGTGTATAAATTGAAGCCATAAACGAATTCACGTAGCTAAAGGAAAATGTATTTATTGTAAGAATGTCCTGCTGCTATAGTAACGTAGGTAGTAGGACACTCAGATAATTAGACTTCACTTGTGGTTATGAGACTGTTAGAACAAATATTCAGTTCTGTGACTTAATCAAAGAGACATTATTAGTCTAGCAATAATACCGCTATAAACTCCTACCTCAAATCGATGAAGATGTATATCATCATTCGGTCTCAATGATCAGCTCCTAGAACTCTAAACCTCACAATACTTTCGAATCCTGCGATATCCATAGTAGCTAAATGATAGTAATTCGAGACATCTCAATAGATTTGAACAATCGTCTGAGAGTACTAGGTCGCATCCAATCCTCCAAAGGGTAGGCCCTTAAATACAATTCACATTTAAATAGACCAACACGCTGATAATAACCATTGCTCAATCTTTTTAAAATCAAAAAGGACTGGTCACATTTACCATCTTTATAAGAAGTACGCTCTCTCAGTAGCATGAGTGTACACGCTTCGGCCTTGAGATTCTCACGGAAATCGTAAAAGTCTTGGAAGTGTTCTTCTTGCTCACTGTTCATCGGATGAGCTTCTAGGGAGAGAACTTTGGCTCGGAGAACGATTTTCCCGCACGTTGGCGTGTTGTCAATCTCAAGACATGTGACATGAATTTCCGCATCCATGTCTGTAAAGTTGATCGGAAAATCAACTGAGACCCAGGACCAGGAAGGAACACGTCGATTTCTCACATTGCTAAGATTCTTACCATCAATGCACCAAAATCTTTGTGCCTCCCAAGACAAATGGTGTTCGATTGTGTTTCTCATGAAACCAAAAACATGCTCGTCATTCCACACCAAAGCGAGTTCTTTTGCAATAGCAGAAATGGCAGGCAAGCGATCTTCAGGGTTCGTAAGATCACGCCTGGCGAAGTTTTCAACAATCCAGTTCCAAGTTTTGGCGCGATGAAAAGAGTCGGTTATTTCTACCGCCACGTCCCGTCGAAAGACATTTGCAGGTGCTTGAAGAACTTCCCACGCGTATACATGGTTACTTCTTACAACGGGCTCAAATTTTAAGGTCTGGCATTGCCATATTAGTTCCGTAGATCGAAAAGAAAGCAATCTGGGTGATAGTATTGATTCCTGGAAACACCAGGCTCTTCTATTCAGAGGATCTTCTGATTCAAAATGGTACACGTCGCTTGAAATATATACCTTCGAGAGAGATTTGTCGGGCAAGCAGAATGGAATCTCCAATAACTCGGGAGTGGGTTCATGATTGAATAACCCCCCGTCTATTGAAGTTGAGCCAGCCGCAGATATCGTTATTGTGGCATTCTTGTAAATGTCTCCCATTTTCTCAATCTCTCTGGCTTTATCAACCTCGTTATCTTGAATAATACACAGTGCGTCAATCCAAATATATCGTATGCCAATACTTCTAGCGATGAAAATTGTATCCTTGAGAGTTAAGGGTAGATCATTGCTGTCAAAGCCACGCATGCAATGTTCTAAGGTAGAAGCAGTAGTTTTAAAGCTCTGAGGTCCACCCCAACAGTAGCTCAAAGCAATATAGTCGTCTTCTTGATCGGGTCTACTCACATGTAAGCGAACTAGACTAGTGGTTTCAGATTCTATTTGAAGCACTCTCGTGGGTAATTTTGGTGTAGAGTATCGACAAAATGTTGAGTGATGATGGTGGCAGTCATTTAGCCACTTCTTAATTTGGGGGATGATTCTTTCAAAATTGTCCTTGGCCACAAGAGGTTGCCGCTCAATATACAGACCCGCCCAACTCCCTAGAAGACACGAATTAGTAAAAAACGGTTACACGAAGAATACGCTCACCTTCATCAGCCAAAAGACAAATCTGGTTGAATGGAGATTCGGGAGAGTTCACAGTAAGTCTATCAATTTTGTATCCATCAAACGGATATTCAGCTAATATAGTAGATCCTCTGAGTCTCGGGAGTAAGTGTTTTTCAACAAACGTCGAGTTCCTCGTGGAAATGGGCAGTCTGTTTTCGATTCTATTCTCAACGAGACGAGCGTGCACCCTCATGTGCGAATTCCCAGTTTTGAATCTAGGATAGCATTTTCTTATGACTTTGCATAAACCGCATCCACGACCCCCTGCTTCTTCGAGTCCTCTTAGATTCTTATGCTCATAGCCTTCTTCGGAGGCTAGGAGTTGCAGGTTCTCAATTGTAGAAAACATTTGCTCGCAATAATGGCATAATTTCTGAGTCTTAGCCGTCTCAGGCAACGGGGTAGAGACTTCCACCGAATCGAGTTTCGTCGAATCGTCGACCTCAGCACGTTCTAAAGCATCCATATGATGTTGATCTTCTTCCGGTAGTGCAGAATAACCATCGACCGAAGATTTCGCTTGGAGCTGTGATGTACTCATTCTGATTTTGCTTGATTTTGCCGTTGAAAGCTGCTAGGTCGTGGTTAAGGAACACAAGAACACTTGACACGATGCCAATATTGTTGATGAATTCTCAGAGTCTAAAACAACATTAGAATTGCCGATTCAAGGGTTGAGAAGGATATAAAGTCTCCAGACTCTACACTGTGAATAATGATTTGAGAAGAAGGATTGGTTTGTAAAGCTGTAATAACCATGAGGATGCGGGGATCAATTGCTGACCGGCTATCGCACAATCGCCCCCAATGAAACCTCGTCAGCCTCATTATGCAGAATCTCTTCGGAGGTAGTATACTCAGTGATTCCTTGAGGTCGAATTTGTAAGTATCAAGACTTGCCAAGTGGTGGAAAAATAAAGCAGAATAACAAGATGATGGTTATGATCATGATTAAAACACGTACTAACACATGATCAATATCACATGGTAGCCACACTTGGTGCGAAGCCTTCATTTATTTTGCATTTTGTGCGGGTGTCTTAATCACGTCTATTATTCTCTCCTTCTCTTCTCTCCATCTCGTTTTAGAGTGTCTAGCCCAGATCTCGCTATTTTTATTGCCCAGCGAAACACTATCTAGCCATCATCCCCTTCACCCCGACTTCTTTTCTTAGCCATTCAACTCTTTCCCCTCCATAATTTCATTTGATCCATCCTCACCCACTATCTGCCCGTCTTTTTCCACAACTGCTTTCTCCATATCCCCAGTTGTAGAGCCATTCCCAGAACCATCTCTATGAATCATGTGCTCCACATTGATCTTTGGCCCCTTGAACCATTTCCGAGCACTGATCGCATACCAGCACATAGCCAAAGTCATCGTACCCCCATATATTAAACATGTATAATTCATATTCAAATCATTTAGATCCGCGCCTGTAACGGAAGGGAAGCAGAGAATTGGAATTATAAGAGATACCCATCCGACGGCGACGACACCAATGGGTGTTGAGAAACGGCCTAGATTCCAGGGACCTGTTGCTAATCAGTAAACAGCTCCAAGTTGACAAACAGGAGAATGACGAGGGAGGTTTAAAGAATACGGAGAACAATACCAGGGCGAAACTTTCAATGCAATAGGGAATACAAAAGCAATGTATTGCGCAATAGCACCCATGCTAAAAACAGCACCAATAGCCACCGGGCTAGCAAACATAAGGAGACCAAGGAGTGCACCTAGATTGAGGACAAACCAGACGGCATAGACGGGTGTTTTGGTGTGAGAGTTTACTTGTTTGAGCCAGTGAGAACCGGGGAGAGCACCGTCGCGGGAATAGGCGTAGACAACGCGGGATGAGACGACTGTAACACTGGAGATGAGAGTTAGGTAATATTTTTCGACAAAATAAGACAAGGGATATGGGAAAGTTGGTGGTTTACCCTTGCCCAACGAAAAATTGAGCGATCATGTTAAGTGAAAACATAGCCAGTCCAGCTTTTGGGCCAAGGACCTGGAGACACAAGCTTCCCTATTACAGAGCCAGTCAGAAACTCAAAGCTCAACGAAGAGTGATATTTACCATAGGTTGACTATACTGTCCAGAAACTACATCTTGGATATCATTCACAGTATACGCAATAACCAAGATGATCGCCCAACCAAGCCATAATCCCAACTGAGCTGTCATGACAATAGCCCTCGGACCAGCAATATTTGCATTTGAGCACTCCTCGCTCAAATGAAAAGGTGCATCATAACCAGCCAATGTCCACTATTATATGTTAGTCTGATCGATCTACACCAAGAATTGGACTTACTTACAATAACAGACAGAAATCCCATCAAAAAAGAAAATCCAGTAGGCCACTCCGTCCCGTTAACAAGACCCTCAGAAGCCCACACCATACTATTTGGATTTGTCTTCGGCTCATTGATCGAACCCGCTGGAAACCAAATGACGAATATCAAAAGTACAATCACATTCGTGATAGTCCCAACCGTATTCAAGACTCCAATAAACTTAGTAGAATTCATCGCCAGAAGCCCCTGTAAGACTAGCAAAGCCAAAAGCAAAAGATATACATGCCATGTCTGAACAACATAATCCGGATGAACAATTTGAGCCGCTGTCAATATCATAGCTGCAAGTGCATAATTAACCGCACACGGTGCTGTTACTTCACCAGCAAAATTTGACCATCCGGTTATCTCTCAAGACGTTAATCTAGATTCACATTTCGGAAAATGAAAACATACCCAAGAACACAAAGGCCCATAACCCTCCGGTGCCAAAACCACCGAAGCATAGTACAGACCCCCCGCCGTCGGCATACTCGAACACAATTCCGCCATCGCAAATGCTACAAATTGTATCAAGATTCCCGCAACAAGCCATCCCCATACCGAGCCCGCCGGTCCACTATGCCCAAGATTATACCCCAGAGTCGATGCGATCGATGGTAACAAGCCTAGACAGGAAAATGAAACTCCAAAAGATGACCATATTGATAATTCTCTTTTGAATTCTTGTTTGTAACCTAGGGAGACGAGAATCTCTTCATCAGTGGTGACTTCATGGTCGATGACTGCGTGATCTCCTGTGTTCTCAAAGATGGATGTGACATGAAGGATATTCTCATCGATTGTATGTTTACTTTTTAACTCCATGTTGAAAATCGATAGAAACTGGGAATTTTCCGACGACGATTGAGAACCTTACTTGAGGCTTACAGGAACAAAACGCTCAGTCCCAACTCTGTGGAATGTAGCACATAGTAAACGCAACGTGTACAAACATCGTTGATCTTCAACCGTTTATCTAATTATGGTACTAGACTATGATAAGCAGATGCTGGTAACATGGTATGTTGTGTGAATATATATTTAGGAAGATAGTAGTGAGATACGCCGAGATCATCCAGACCAACTAATTGGTTGAAACCCGATGAGACGGTGAGGAACGGCCGAGATGGCTCAATGCTGATGTTTTCGTGGGGTAAAATCGCCTACGACTGGTCACCCTTCTCGGCATACATATTGATGACCGGATCAGCACCACTCCGAAAAAATGAGAAATATTTCCTATGGTCGATTCGAGTCCTGCAGACAATAACCCCTCGTTAGTCCAAATCATAAGTGTTCTCGCAGTTTGAAAGCTTGAGAGTGTGTTAGAGAAAGATTTGGGGTAGCAACCGCACAAGATCACGAACGATAAACATGTGAGCTTTGCTACATTCTCTTTGTATTAATATCTATTCTCGGAAGCTGAGAAGCCCAACGACACAAATTTTCTAATCTCTATACAAGCTACTATACATTAGTCGTACACATTCCATCCTTGTGGAATGGTAAGTCCTTGCGAGCCGCTCATTCAATCCACCTACTTTGCAGCTAATATCATATCAAATCAAATCTGAGAGCCACCATTCTTTGGTCTTAGAAGCACCTCAGCTTTAACTGATGGTGTCATACCGATTCCGCTTCGTACAGTTTTGCGCATGAAGCTTTGGGAGCTAATGAAATCATCTGTTCTCTCCTTTTCGTGCACATAAATTGCCGGCTGAATGCAAAATTCGACAACCCAATCGCTATTTTTTCCGCTAGGTTTTCTATACAGAGCGTCTTCGTTGAACATAGATTTAGGGTCATATGGAGTACCTGGTACAAATTTAACCAACTCATAATCCCTGAAATTCAATGTGGAATCTGCTTTGCTTTTCAAGGCCACCCGAAACATTTCAATGAGTCGAGATTGACGATCTTGCCATGTCTCCTTATCATCATTCCAAGTTGAGAATCCATTCCAATTCTTGAAAATCTCGCTACCAGGATTCTTGGCAAATAGTGGTTCCATAATTTCGGAGTATTTTATAGCTAAACGCTCGGCCTCGGGGTAGATGTATTGGTGTTTGAACTTTTCACTCGAGATGACATCATAGCGAGCAGCCAAATCAAGATTTCTCATTGCTTTAGCTCCGTCTGATAGTCAATTAGCAAATGTTTTTAGATTCAACGTGGAGATGTTAAACTCACCTGCAGCAGTCATTTTTTTTTCTGATGCTCTTTACATAGTCTGAGGATGAGCCCTCAAGTTGCGGAAAATCGGACTCGAATACCCAAAGTTTCAGAAAGCTTGCTGTTAAAGCTCTGAAGACCACGTGTGTCTTCATGGATGAAAGGCTGGCTCCAAGGTCTTCAGCGGTTTGTCGGAGTGTTTCGTCTTGGCCGAAAGTATCAAGAACGATCTTTTCGAGCTCCTGATCCAACCCGGGAGGGATAGTTACTGGAATTTCATCGAATGGTAGTTGATCAATTGTACTAAAAACATCAACCAAATTTTGAACACTCTCATATTTGAAGGTCTCGTCGGATGTGTCACCGAGCTGTGTAAACCTTGATAAGAACCTACGAGTCTCCAGCTCCTTCCTCAAGGCTTTAATCTCTTGATCTTTTTTATCAAGGACATACTCCGGAGAATTCTTTCCCAATTGCGCCAGGTTTGACCTTAGACGCCGTGCATCCATTGATGCGACCTGTAGACTCTCTTTTAATTCGACCACTTCCAAATTGCTTTCTTCGACAATCTCTCGCAGACGTGAGACATCCTCTTTCGCCAAAGCAAGCAATACACTGTCAGTTTGTGATCCATATCCTGGCTTATCGCAAACCTCGCTGCTTTTCGACAATGGCTCCTCCTCAATGTGCTTCTCACGCGGGGCTTCGGTGCTGCATTCTCCGCACGAAAATTCTATATTCTTTGCTTCTGTGATTTCCACTCCAACGCAAACGAAATGCTGCCATACACTGCAGTTTTTGCATTGAACCCAGTCGGTATAGGTCTGAGTATTCTTGCAGATGCATCGTGTTACTTCGTCTGTCGTGTCATCTTCAACATGATGAGCCGGTTCACTGAAGCTCAAACGTTTTTCACGAGATTCTGAAACTGCTGATGCATCTTTATATGAACAACTGCCTTGCAAGCCCTTCTTCGTACAAGTAGAGCAAGCAGGACGGGCGCCATTACATGCCACCTTTCTTCGTCGACAATAATCACATCTTTGTGATAATCTTCCTCTGCGAACAGATGTTGCCGACTGAACACGAGGAGTAGTTTGACCATTCTCGCTGGCCGTTTGCGTGTTTTTATCCTGGCTATCTTCAATCGTGTGAGAAGATTGATAGTGAGTGCGCGAGAGGGGATCGGGTGAAGGAGTCGAATCAGGCTATTTTTTTTCGTACATCAGTATATATACAAACAACTAGTATCTAGTAACATTGAGGATTTACTAACATTAACCTTTCTTTTCTTGGTGGCAGATTTAGATACCACTGTGTCGAAATCGAGGTCTCCAATCTTACGCTTGGTATGTGCTTTAGGAAGAATTGGATTGTGAGTTTCCTTGCCTTGGGGTTCTGGTGAAAGGGTCGAATCGCGCTATTTCGTTTAACGGTCAGTTTTTGTTCAAATAAAAAGCAGAGACCATGAGAATGGGGTTTAAACGAACAGTGAGCTTTCTTCTTTTTGCGGTGTTTTGAGATTCCTCTGGAATCGAACTAGCATCTCTTTTCCTAAGCTTAATAGGGGTCCTGGGAAGAGTTGAGCCGGAAGTCTTTTCACCCTGTACTTCAGGTGCTGGCTTTTGAGTATTAGCCTGAGCATTCTTACGCCCATGTTTTTTCGACTTTGAGCCATTATCTGTAGATCTTGAAGGTTGCTTGCTGGCGCGAAGCTCGACTTCAAAGTCTTCACAAGCAGCCGTGATTTGGCCCCTCAAAGCATCTGGAAGATTAACCAGGCAGATGCAACCTTTATTTATGATGGTTCTGGATCGAGTACTATCTTTGTCGCGAGTGCCCCATTTATCCAGTAAGCCTTGCAGCTTTCGAGAGACTTGTTTGATGGTATAATCCACCCCACATTTTTGCTTGAGGTGAGAAACTACAGTCTTGTCAAAGTCGATATTGTCATGTTTGAATGCAATTTCAGCCCAAGAGAGCAATTGGACAACATGACTTTCTAGCCATTTTGCGATGATGTGTTTTTGGGCCATTTTTCATTCAAGATCCTGAGAGATGTTGATGGTGGTTTGAAGTTGATGGTGGTTTGAAGTTGATGGTGGTTTGGAGTTGATGGTGGTTGAAGTTGATTGTAGTTGAAGTTGATGGTGGTTTGAAGTTGATTGTAGTTGAAGTTGAAGTTGATTGTGGTTGGAATTGATTGATCGAGAATTCTTTACTTTTCTAAAATCTTTGTGGGATACGAGTATCGGATACCTAGTACATAATGAGAAGCGGGACGGCTTTATCAAATTTCCAATCAAAAAAATATTGTCGCAAGATGAGTGAATGTGGACACGTGATAACGCGCTAGCGGTTCGTGTAGGAATTACCTAGTATATACACTTCTCTGCGTACCTAGTACACTTTTGATTCATTCCTGATTGATAATCTTTTTTAAATTTTATATGAAAAGGCCGACATCGCGATCGAGGCTATACTGAAATACAAAACATACTTCGTCTCCAATAGCTTGTCAGCTTTGATTGTCCCTCTTCACTACAGTGTAAGAAAGTTGGCACTCGTCAAATCATTCAACCCCATACGGAAACCCATCTTCCAGGTTAGTTAGATAGTCATGAACTCCTCTTCTGACTCCCTCTCATTGTCCCATATGTTCAAAATTAATCGAACATACCAAAATATTCTAGCTAACTCAAAAGTGAACTCACCAAAATCAGAAATGTTCTTACCACGTGCGCCGAAGGCTCCCAATCGCCCTAAACAAGAGCCCCGTGAATCAAAATTCTTTGAAACAGAAGACAACATGACTGCCATCAACGGCGGCTCGCCAATGGAGATCGACAGTCGAAACGAGAATGAAGTTGACCGTCTGATCATTTCAACTGATTTCGGAACGACATTTAGTTGTGTTGCTTTTGCCAGCAGCAAAGATGAAATCGGAATCGTGAGAGGATATGCCACTGATCCAATGTCAATCCAAAAGAAGCCTCGATTTGACGTGCCGACTGAGAGTTGGTATCCGACCAAAGCCAAGCTGGAGGAACTGGCGATAGAGAACAATGCAGACAACGATGAGCCGATGCTGAAATTTGATGACGATGATGATTCAGATGACGATGGGTTCAATGATGCTGGTTCAACGCCAAAGATTATGTACTGGGGTTACGAGGTACAAGGCAAACTAAGCGAGCCTGATTTGGATAAGAAACAATACACTTGTGTCATGAGGTCGAAACTGTTGTTGGACACCAGCTATGAGACTGAGAAGATCCGCGAGGAACTGAAACCAGTCTTGAAGAGTCTCAAAGCTAGAAAGTACATCAAAGCAAACGAGGACGTCATTGTCCAATACCTCGAACAGCTCTTTTTACATGCGAAGAAATACCTGCACGAAAACCGGAGACTCAAAGATACGACAATTGTAGAGCATGTGTTATGCGTGCCTGTCATCTGGTCGCCCAGTGCATGCAGGAAAATGCAAAGCGCTATGGAAGTCGCCATTCAGCGATCGGACCTTGGTAGCATTAACAACCTTTTTCTTGTGTCGGAACCTGAAGCGGCGGCAGCTTACGTGCTTGAATACAGCAACAGCATTTCTGTGAGTGAAAATTCTCTATTGAAGCTTCGTCAACTGACTGTGTAAAGCCAGAAGAAACATTCATACTTTTAGACGCCGGTGGAGGAACAGTTGATGCTACTACATACACTGTTAGTGGTTCGGAGCCTCTTAGATTGAAAAGAGAAGAGGTAGCTGCGAAAGGTAAGATGGTATATTTTTCCATCCAGTTCATCTACTGATCGTGCAAAGGCGGACTTTACGGCTCCAGCTACTTGAACGAAGCATTTAAAGAATACCTGTTTGGTCGTCTGGAGAGTGAAAAGTCCGACATAGAGATCAATGGGAGAACTATTCAAGGAATTGTCGACCAGCAAACAGTAAACTTCGAAAATTCATTGAAAAGAATCATGGATGTGACAAATCAGAATATGGCACCGATTTTTCTTCGTATCGACGGCCTTCGCGAGAATCCAGAAAAGGGCTTTTCAGCAAATCGCATTAAAATCAAGAGGTAGATGAATCTCTGCCCTTTTACTGGTCGTGCAACTAACACTATTTAGAAACGATTTCTGGAGAATATTTGAGAGATGTCTCCGAGGCAATATGGATTTAATGCTCGATCAGATCAAGCTGTCGAGAGAGGCTGGACTCATTATAAAGGTAATGATAGAGAAAACTCCCAGCGCGTCGAAAAGAGCTAACTCGTGCTGGCACAATCTAGAAAGTGATATTGATTGGAGGATTTTCGAACAATCCATCTCTCAGAAAGACATTGGAGAGACGACTAAGAAAACTCGAAAGAGACACGGGTGTTTCCATCGAACTGGAAACCGTAAATGATCCAGAATACCTGTAAGACCCCACCCCGTTTCAAATGTTTGACTGAGTTGATAAATTCGTGACAGAGAAACAGCGATGGCCAGCGGCGGAATCTTGCGGGCGCTTGATAAGGAAAAAGATGAGCTAGAGAGAATGAGCTTATGCAGCTACGGATTTTTCTTACAGGAAGAACACGATCCGATAGGTATCCCGGCACATAAAAATGTTAAGCCAATAAACGATTCAAGTGACGGTGTACCATATTTGGAGGTGATGGATTGGGTAGTGAAGAAGGTGAGTTGAAATTTTTCTCGACACTCGCCCGCTATATAGTACTGACTATAAACTAGGGAGAAATCATCCCGGCCGCCAAAGAATATCGTATGGACGTACATTTCATCTTTCCCGCAGCACGAAAGACCTTTATCTATGAACAAGAGTTATATGTCTCGGACACTAGTACTGAGCAACATTACAAATTCTCACACCCTAAAAATAGAGGTATGTAGTTTCACAATTCAAAGCGTTTGGCTTGTCTAACGGTGTAAAGGAGCTCAAATAGTTGGAACCATTCATTCGGACTTCAGCGAATTAATCAGATCTGGAGGTATCCAGGAGACAATAGAGCAAGACGGTCCAAAAGTATTGAGGTATTATAGAGTTGATTTCGAGCTTGTTATGAAAGTAAAGGGCCGAAATTTGGAGATAGAAGGTTGCATTGGAGGAGAATCATTTGGTGGTAAGGAAATCAGTATTGCAGCAGCCTTCGTCCCTGGTACAAAGTAGCCTTGGGTAGATTTGGTAAGGATGGATGATAGAATGTTCATAAGTTCTCATTTCCCTGCTGAGCTCACTGGCGACGTTGGTATTTGAAAGAGCTATCTTATGGTGCGATCATAAGTACACGTTTCGAAGGGACAAGTTCTAGGCGGCACGAGTTTATCCCCTTATTCTGGAAGCCGTCTTCGTGACGATTTGGGTTGATGCTTTTTTACTTCCCAAGCTAGGTATCGCTTTAGTTAATGGAGCGAATATCAATGAGCATAGTTTTCTCTTTCATAGGAGCCCTCTTCGATGCACTTTGATTTGCATGATTTTCAATCCTGCCGAGTACAATACACGGCATTCCCAGCCGCGTGGGTATTCAAATTGAGAGTCCGAAAGATAATCAATCAGCCAAAAACAACAATTTAGGAAGAGTGTCTAGAGCAGACCTAGAATGCGTGGTGGTGAGAGATACGAAGTACGTTGGAAAAGAAGTGTGGACAGACGGAAGCAACAAAATCATCACATCATGACTAAGCAAAAATACTTGGCAAGACCTGGTCAATCCCTAGTCATCAATTAACCACATCCTCTTCATCAACGTCTCTTTTCCCTCTCAGACTTTATCTTGCTCTCCGCTCTTCTGATAGAATTCTCAAGTTTTCGACGATGTTTTTGTGTCCTTCTTGTCAAGCACACGTGGTCGTTCTGGAGCACGTGACTTGGCGTCTCCTTATTTACCCATTTCTTAAGTTCATCAAGTACCCCCGTGCTATCAGTCTGAGCTCCCAGCAGCCGCTCTTGGTTCTTTCTTCTCCGCACCTACTAATTTCTTATAAAACAAACCCTCCGTCTTCAACTCTCCCGTTTGAGACTACACATCATACTCCGGTATTCTTCCACACTAGTTCCCCAATTAGTCTGCGTCCAATAACATCTTCACCCCATTATGAAAATAAAATTAACTAACCTCTTTGTAACTTACCCCATTCTTCTATAAATGCCATCCGCTGAACTTCCTACATCTGTGTCAAGCACCTATTGGCGTCTCAACGGAACCAAACAGAGTGGAACCAAGAAAATCTATAACAGTGAAAACATACCAATAACCAAGCACCCATCTCCCCCGCAATTTTCTCTGTTGTCCTCTCGATAACTCGATAGACAGGTGGCGGGTCTCCCAACTCACTCAGCGAGAAACCGGGTTAACACTGTTCGTGTTCAATACCAAGTCAAGTTGTGTAATCCTAATCGGTCTGTCAAAACGCAGTGGCAAGGTTATCGTTTTGGTGTAATTCGGTTCTACTTTGGGTTCAGGTCGTACGATTATTAACATGAAAACTTACCACACAGAACAGTATTCGGTAACGCCGATGTCCGCAAAAATCCGAACACGGAGATACGATATCCAGTTCTTGGGGAGATCTAACATTGGAAAAGTTTCCAGAGTTTCCAGAGTTTCCATGCAGCGTATAATATGAACTACAACTGTTAGAAGGGTCTGATGTTGATATAATCTAAAGCAAGACATAGCAACATGATACGTAGTTACATGGCGTAGCACATCTAAATAAATCTTCGTATCCGCGGCTCTCGCGATACTCCAACCATTCTGCGCGCATTTTGTATGCCGGTAACAGCGATGCATGAAAGCCGGGCCGCCACACACGTGCCGCACTTGAACATTAGCTTTGAAAATGGAAGCTATTTACGTGAAAATCTTGTGAGCAAACTTAGCATCGGTGGTACCAATGGCCTCATCAAGCTCTTTTGATAGCTCGTGTTATAGTGAGATGATACTATTCCTGGCGCTATACTGTCAATTTTTCACATTGAGATATACGAAAGATTTCAGGCATGCACTACACCCATACGAAAAGCATCGTCATCGCCGAAGAAGATGGAGGAGAAATGTTGGCTCTCTGACATGGATCAAATCCAACCGTATCTGCCGACTTATAATGTACAACATACGTCGGGATATAAACACTTGCAAATGTTCATCCAATCCTTTCCCCTCATTCAAATATAGAAAAGATCCGTATCCGTGCCCCTGGTGATGATCGCATCTAGGAACAGAGACATAAAAAGTTTCTCAATAGGGCACAGTATCTGCGGTCGTGGCTGAGAATGGCTGCGGATTCTCCGATGAAGGGGTGTTATTGGATCAAAAAAGTCTAAGCGAGCTTGGCATAACATCATTCTCCCGATCTTCCAATTATTTTCCCTTTGCACTTTTTCCATCTTTTCCGAATGGGTGTGGTTGGGTTCACAGCCTTTTCAGGGTTCTCTTTCGTACCTGAAGACTAATGTATTCAGTATTTTAAACTTACGCCTGTGATGATTCTGAGTGGATGATGATGGTGATCGTCGAGAACTAGGAAAGAACACTGGGGCGATGACCAGCCACCAACACGATTAATGGTAGTACCATTACTATTTACCCGCCATTTCCAAGATATTGACCATATGATGTACAAAGATCATTGTGGGGTGATTGGGAATGCGATATAATATAAAAGTCTCCAGGAAGCTCTCCATTTAAGTTATCATACAAGCCACTTCATTTTATCATTCACCATCAAAGCAAAGCCTTTTACAAAGTAACTTATCTTTTATCATCAAGGCAGTGTTCACATCAAAGCCTCCTCAGAAGAAGTAACTAGAATTAGCTATACCATAAACTTTAGCTACATAAGTTTCACACATATCCTTCATACTTTACCAAACCACAAACTACATACCACATACACACAAACACACAAACACAAACACATACACATCAAAATGTTATTCTCAACCACCAATATCTTGAGCACCCTTGCTCTCCTCACCTCCGTCACCGCCGCTCCCACCAAAAGACAAACCTACTCCACCCCACCCAAGTCCACATCTACCCATTTCACACTGGTGGCCAACGTGACCTCTGGCGATCTCGCCATCAACCACTTCGTTCTCGAATCCTATCACACCGGCGCCGGCACCGCATATGCAGTACTAGCCGAAAACACCACCGAAGCCACTCCCCGCATCTTTTACATCAACGGCACCGCCACCGACGTCCGCTTCGGCAATTCCTCCACCATAACCGATTCCGGCAGCGGCTCCGACTCTTTCCCCGAATCCCTCACCATCACACCTTCCGATCCCGCACCTTCTTCTTCCGGTCGCTCAACGGTAGAAATTAATGCCGGTGCTGGCCAACCCTACGTAGGACTTACTACATCTCCGTTCCAAACGACTCAACTTCATGGATACCAAGGAGAAACTTTCTACGCTTGTAACACTACCCTTCAATATGGTTCTGCCATCCAACTCTTCTACCGAGGATATAGCCAGGAGACCCCAGCCGGATGTTCAGATGTTGCATTATTGCCTCAATGCAGCGAGGGTAGTGGAGCGGAAGATGCTTCCGCCGCAACAGTCAGCTGTTACGATGATGTAGCTACGATTGACTGGAGCATCTACAGCGCATGAGAAGCGACCTAGTTTTTATCACGAGAGAAGATGCGAAACTTATGATTTATGAGCGGCATGCATGGCAATGCATTTAATAGGCGTTTTGGAAAAGGTTATAGGGTTTATGAGACCATACCATTATCGGGTACAATCGATGAATTAGACAGATTACTTAATGGAGAAAAGAATTAATGAACAATGTTAAGAAAATTTACAATTGTACTTGCCTTTCTATCTCAGTGCTTGGTTCAGTGATTTTCATATCGATTTGGGAAATGATATAGCAATCCATAAATGTCCATGTAAATCGATTACGGTCTCATGAGGACCTAGTAGAACTTCATAACCTTATGGAAGACTAGTAAGGTGAATCAATGTAAGACTTACACCGACGAAAGAAACCTCGCGATAAGTCGGTGAGAAAGTAATTGATCAATATGAAGAAAGATTTCCATAAATCAAAATAATCACGAGACCCTAGCAAAAAAATAAATACAGATAAAAGGGGTATCTATCCTATAACTCCACCTATTCCATCCCATGACTCCTTGATATTTGGCACTCCAATCCCAGATGAAATATCTACCTCTAATGACCATACCATCCCCGATCATTCATCCCCTTCATAACCCTCTAGGGTCATATCCAAATCCATCCCTTCATCCCCGTCATCCCACTCGACCCCAATCTTTCCAAACAAGCCTCTGGCCCTCCTCCTCTCATCCTCTCTCTTCTCCATTCCCCTTCGAACCTCTGCTTCTCTTTGTCGTCCCAAAAACCTTCTATCAGCCTCCATTGCTCCACCCCTCATTTTCCCAAACCATTCCTCATCACCTTCCCATTTCTCTGGTACACATAGATTTCCAACATATAACGCTACCATTCCTCTCAGACGAAGTAGGACTTCAGAATCAGAGTATGGAGGCGTGGTCATTAATTCATCCATTCGTTGAGCTACCATTTCCGTAGCTACTAGAGCTGCGCGTCGAACTTCATCTCTTTCTTCCCAGCGTTTTTCTTTCCGTCGTTTATGGAGACGGTCTTGGCGACGTTGATGAGCTAGGAATGCTTTATCCTCGAGATCCCCTGCTTCATCATTATCGTCCATATCTTCTTCGTCGCTGATTTCACTATCGCTTATATCCCCATCTTCGTCCTTCTCTGCTTGCTTGGCAATCTTTCGTAAACCATCTTTATGTTCAAATTGTATTCCATAGATTTCACACCCAAGCATCGCAGGCCAGAAATCTAGCGCAGTGACTGAGCCGTGGAATTGTCGTTTGTAAGGATATTGAAGAATGAGACGTTCGTAATAATCTTTCACTTTGAGAAGTCCTTCAGCTGTACCATATCTCTTTTCTTCACCTCCCTTGTCTTCCCCTTTTCCATCTTCCTCTCCTTCTTTTTGTTCCCCATCATTATTGTTCCCATCATCACCACTCCCTTCTCCCGTATCCTCTTCCCACCATTCCTTTCTCTGTTTATTCGTCACACCTCTCATCAGTAACTCGGCTCCAATCCCCCAAAACCCCGTCTTCCTGATTTCAATCCCCTTGCCCGTAATCTGCATCCGTAAAAGTAAACTCCAAGCCCGTCCCGCCCTCTCCATATCCCCCTCTTCCAAATTCCTCATCATAATCGCAACCAATACACTTAAATGTTGAAGCTTCAAATTCGACCTCCCAGTTTTCTTTTCTTCCTTACTACGTCTTTCCCTCTCCCTTCGACTTTTAGCAGATTCTTCTTCGGAATCTTCGTCTTCATCGTCTCGAGGCTTGACAGCAGATTCGCAATCATCGGAAAATCCAGAATATCTAGTAGGTATTCCTCTATGCGGCCAATTCTTAACTCCAATTTTCGAAGGTAATTCTTTATCGAGTCCCAAGCCAGCTAATCGATATTGCATCACCTCTGCGGGCGTTAAACTCAATGGATTCGTATTTTCTGCAGAAGGGTATGACGGTCCTCCAACATCTCTTTCCTTTCCTTTTCCTGAATTGGTATTTGTGTTCGCAATATACTCATTATTGTACCAGCCATCTTGATCGCTATCGCTATCGCGTCGTTTTCGTTTTTGGGATCGTAAAGAGAGAGGTGCGAAGTGGACTTGAGGAGTGGTGGCAGATGTTTGAGTTGTATCAAATATGGGAAGTGTGAAGAGTGGCATGTTATATATGGTATATGAGAAAGGAAATAGTGAGTTCCTAGATGAATTATTTCTAGATGAGGGAATGGTTTGATATAGAAAAAGTTAATGAGGCTATGATTCAGCCTTGGTGTGAAAAGGTAACCTTGGTTAGGTATCTAGGTAGGTACGGTACCTATGGACTGGGCACCACCTGGGCAGGTTGATTCATGTGTGGCTGCTGTGGCTGCTGCTGTGGCTTTGCGAGAGGTGCGAAACAGTGTTCTGTGAACTTCTTTCTTTGCTTGAAGATTTTCACCATACATTGCAATTATCATTCAATAATCCAATACAAGATTCCATTCCGAATTAAAATACCGAGCCGGACATTTGAATTCTATATCCAATCATCCTTCCATAGTCAGGTATCAAGATATACGATACAAATGAAAACACCTCATATTTTAAATCCTTCCTCTCCACGAAACCCCTCGACAAGAATCCTCCATGTCCTTTGCATAAATTCAAGCAATAAAGTCATTAAATCGTCACACATTGATCGGTATGGCCAGTAGTGAACTGGCTCCTGTAACAAAACGACCCTCATATCCACCCGCTTCCAATACTCAGAGTTTCTTCCTCTGGCACGATCGAAAAGCTTTGTGTGTTTTGTGTATATGTCTCTCAAATCTCCATTGCGCTGTATCTTCCACACGGGGCAATTCTTTTCTCTGGATATTGTGGCAGCTACATGGTCAAAGAAAGCAGAGTTCAGCTCTATGAAGTCAGACTCAACACGAGTATGATATCCTAAAAGGTCCCGAATAAAACCCTTTCCCTCGATTTTAATTGTGAGTACTTCAAGGTCTGGGCATGCAGCTTCTATGCATTCGATTGCGTTCATTTCATCGTGATGCTTCAGGTTGTCATGATAATTTTCGCTATCATAGAAATAATCGCTATCCAGCGACAGATGCTTGACTGGAGTAAGTCCCCATAGTTCATGTGCCCAAGTGTCTTTCGACTTTAACAATATGTATCTATGTGCGATATCTTTGTCCGGGTTGAAAGGTAGAAGATTGAGTGCGGTGATGTTTTCAGGGTCTTGTGCTGTCCTCCCATCACTCATTGGTTGGAATACAAAAGTAAAATGTTCTTGTACAACTTCATGAGATTCTCTGCAAGCCAATTGAAGAGAATTCTTAGAATTAGAAACTTCAAGTAATGGTAACCTTAGAAGGTGGCATTTTCCATTTTCCCAACCGCCTTCAAAGACATGGCGACCTTCAGATTCCAGAAGGGCAGCCTTCCATATCATTCGACGAAGTTCAAGCGGCAGACTTGTGAACTTGGGAAATTTGTTGTTCGGATCCTGTGGTGACCTTGATTGAGTTATTTGCTGGTCCAGAGGGATTGTATTTGGGGAAAGAGGCCGATTTTTCGAAGAGATTGATCGCGTGTGGACCGGGTGAAAGCGTCAATTGATCTTTTCTCCTTTGTCTTTGGGCTTTCAGCAATGTTCTCTAAGACCTTGGTTTCCTACGGTCTGATGATACACGCTGGAAGATAAGGTTGGGTAATACTTCCTCATTGAATTTCTGTTCTCTGTCTCTTGTGCAAGTGTCATGTCGGGACTCGAATAGCAACCTAGGAAGAATTTTCTTACTTTTGAAAGCGTGTTTGGTGCGGTGATCAATATTCTTCATCGCGATTCGGGCACTCTCCTCCATATGCTCCACTTCGTTTATTTTTCTCTCATTTGCTATCAATCTTTTGTGCTGCTCCATCATCTTCTCGGACAGAGCACACATCTCCTTAGGTTGAGCATCACGCGAGTGTCACTGAGGTCTCAAGATGGATTTCCTTTCTACTAGTAACTGTATAATAGAGCAATTCCATCATTTCTATGAGTAATTCTCCTTTCCCGCTCACAAGATAGCTTAACCTGTATGGTTTTTACCCAGTCTTGAGTACGAGTTGGTTGCTATATCTTTAGCGTGGACTGTAGTGACCATTTGTTAGCGAGGATTAGAATTGGCACATACTTGTGCAAAGAGAGTCCTTTGGGCATGTCTTACTAGTTTGAAAAAACTTTCTATGACTCTTGTTCGTAGCCTTCTTCACGTCATTCATTATATTTTTAAAAGTTTGGGCCTCCTTGGTCCATGTCAAAAAGTCGTTTTCGCGTGGTGTCTCCATGATATTTTGTCACTCATTTCTATTATACCATGTAACAAGAGCAAATGTCTTTCTGTTGTGGTACTGAGCTATGTATTGTAGAAATGACAGATTTTATAAATGCAGCATAAACTCAATTTGGCACTAGAAAATACTAGAGGACTAGTCTGGCTTTACGTGATGTTACCTTAACCACTAGCCATACTAATACTTCCTTATATTCAAGTATCAGCACATTATCACAACCCCGTGTTATTTGATTACCTATGTCAACGGAGATTTTTCATCTCGTAGGGAAAATTCCGCGAACTTCAACGGGTAAGTATGGGATTCACAGCAGCTTCTTAGCATTTGAATTGCCATTACGCAGGTGAGAGATCGCGGTTCTTGTAGATTTGACGGTGTATCATAAATCATGACGCGTGCTTGCGGCGAGGTATGTTCAGTATGCCACAATAGTATGGCAATGATCTCTTGTTGTAGAATAATGTATATCTACCAGACTCTAAGCCTATAATCTCTTCGTCACTTTTCATCCCAACGTCCTCGGGAGCGACATATCCGACACTATCGAATCTTGCGGTTCGTCTATCACGAAATTCAAAGTCGGAGCGAGAGCCACTGGAGCAGGTTTTTACAACGGGAAATGAAACATGGGGCTTGGTAATCATGTACTATCGTGGGAGAAATCGCAACGTCAAATTTTTCGGATCGTATGAGCTTTGAGGATACTAGTACTTTCTCCATGGCTATGGTTACGGTTGCTGTGGGGGTCTATTGCTACTAGACTTGCTGATAATGCTTGGAAAAAGGGAGAAATGAAATGGAAGAATGTTGGTTTGGGAGGCGCGTCGTCTGTAGGGACTGCACCTACACCTTGGTAATCTTGCGTGATAGAAAATCTTCGCCATGGCTGGTGAGAAACATCACGAGTACCTTGTATCGATTGGTGCAACTGCTGCTTCCGATTATAGGGACCCGGAAGTTGTGAGAAATGTTATAGAGGAAGTGAACACTTTGGATATGGGTCTCGAAATTGGATTTCACGCCACCACGGAGAATGTCACTTCTCAACTCTCGGCTGACATTTTATCGGCTATGGGGAATCGTCAAGGCAAACTTGTCTTGACTCTTCCTTGACCAGAAGAATATCCAAGACTTGAAGATGTGAAAGTTTTCAAGACGTTGGCTGCTCGTCTTGGTACTGATACTCCAGATGTGGGTGCATGGTTTCCAATGAACTCTTAAAAGATGCTTTGGAGAAGAAGTATATAGCTACCGCTCCGCCGGTAGAGATTGCAGAAAGAGGTATTGCAAGTGCGCAAAGCGTTTTGATATGTTGACAGAGGATGTCAGTGGAAAGAAGCTTGTTGTGAAAGTTGGGTATCCTTAGAGTGGATTTTTCGGTTGGGAGACGAGGAGTGAGAGAATTTCTCGGGTATGGCAGGGATTCTTGATGCCGTCCCCGAATTCCGCAATAGCTAGAATTCAACCGTTATGCCTGGTATGTTGCATCAGTATTCATGCGGTTTTGGTACCCTTTAGATTTCTTTTTCTGCCTATGTTTCATGTTTTTCATTTGCGTCGGCGAAACATTCTGCCACGCATCATTATATATCAACTTATTCGTGATCTCTTTCACGATCCCACCTTTCCCCGTGCCCCATTGATCATCAACCTCTTAAAGCAATGACCAACAAACACCCCTCACCGAGTTGTACAAAGAGCGGTGTACCCACTGATTTACCTCTTACTACCCCACTTCATCATTAGCGGCATCTACTTACAGCTGCCAGCCGTGCCAGCAAATAGTAGAAACAATCTTTGCCTTCTAGGGCCATACACCTTCTTTACTTTAAAGTATTGGGAAGAAATTGCGGAAGATGATTGGTTCATTTGTTCAAAGTAAATAGAAGTGAACAATGTCCAGATATGCAACAGAAATCTCCAGGAATCGTGGAAATTATAGTAAGGGGTTGGAGTTTCGCAATCAACACTGATTGGTGGAGAGGATGAAAGTAAATAATCTCTAGATGTGCAACATAAGAGACGAGAGATATGGTAGGTGCATGCGAGATTCCCGGCGCGGGAATCGACCCGCCATTATGGTGCGCACGATCTGAACCCCTGATCTACTCAGGGATGTAATCTTCCTTGTTATATAGTTCCACTTGGGATGTTTCAAATTTCGAAGTCAGATTTCTGTTGCGCGTGGAGAAAAAAGTAAGTCTTGTATTCTATCACTTCTGGTCGGTGTCTGTTGAAGGGTTCACATACTCGGTCATTTGATCCATATTTGGGGGTGCTTCTTCTATACTCTTTCTTCTGAGCTTAGATGAACTGGATGATGGAGGGCTCTGCATCATGTGAATGCAATGTGTAGTAATGATCTCGAGATTGGATTGATCGTCTATAGTAGCTAGTCCCTAATCGAATACCGATGACAAATTCTGTCTATGTGAACGTCGTCATTGCCAATCCTGATAGTCGATGTTTGTCCTGATTCTAGACACTTGGTCTTTGATATTGGTGTGTGGTAGAGTTATGATTTGCGGGATTTGTACGGTGGGAAAAGTAAGTAGACAATTTTTATATCGCGAAGGATATCAGATATAGAACCCAAATTGGTTAAGTATGAAGATTTCAGAAGAGGCTTGAATTTGGGCTTCTCGAGCTGATATGCAGACGGCTCATCTGTGGGATTGGCATAGCTACATACCTGTTGAAGGGTATAATTTCTTTGGTTTTTTTATGGGCCGAAATATTAAAGTTGTGTACACTCAGCTTCGCCTAGACTTCGGCACCCGAGGAGGCTGTTCAGTGAGTATGTAGATACCCGAGCATGAGTATTCGAGCTTTGTAACGGATGTTTAGACTTATTAGAGCAAATTTGAGTGATTCTGACGTGAGAGATCAACTAGAGAGACTTTCCAGATATTCGCTTTTGCTCAAACTGTACTGTTATCTAATTTGAATGTATCTATAGTTAAGGGTTGATGAGATACAGCAATTGAGTATGAGTAGCAGTCAAACCTTTTGCCAGCGAAAGGAGAGATGCCTCGCATTTGAAAGACTGAATTACTGTCGCCAACTATATCCTCTGCAACCCTAACTCATCTCAGCTCTTAATTGCCCCGTTGACAATATTTACGTGGCTCTCGAATGGCATTTCGCGCGGAAGAGAAAGTCCAAGGGGCCCGATTTCTTGTGCCTATGAACAGACCTGAAAGCATCTCAATAAAAATAGTGATTGAATATCAATACTGTGTTGAACCGGATAAGTTGAAGTTGTTCTTGACAATGTCAATGACAGGCGGTGTTTGTTTCTAGTAGCGACGATGCTATATTTGAGTTATGAAAGCACGTCCTCAGAAGATCGTAGTACTCCATGAAAAACTCTGCGTTTGGCATCCGTTACATATGCCAATCCCAACAATCAAATTGCATATTAAACCACCGTCGATTGACATACTGTAGCCAGTCGTAGCTGAACGATGGCTTTGCGACGGTATGACAAGTGATAGCGTGGAATTCAACTCTCATCAGGCTAAATCTAAACTTTCTGCCGGTCAGCCCGACAAGCAATCGACGCTGGAATAATGCCAGTCGTGGGGTAGATTGAGAGGTAGAGGTGTTCCCTTGGTTCATGTAAGTTCTGCCTCTTGTAAGGTTAACTCACGTAACCTTTTTTCTATGGAACGATACTGAAGTGACCAGATATCGACCTAACCTGTTTATCATCACACTTTCTTTTTGGATTATAATTCTATCCTTCCAAGATCGTCGTGCGCGAAAATAAAAATACTGAACAAATGCCTGGATACTAGCCAGCTAAACCTCAGATCTCTGGAGTTCATAACCAGCCTTTCAGGGGGTTATGGACGACAGTTCACAATTGCTCACATGTGACCGGCCTCTTGGGAGCTCTACTTCTGGTGATGCGACTTAATCAAATATGATAATTCAAAGCGCAAAGAAAATTGGGAATGAATGAGACTTCCTCGCGAGGATGTGATATTGATAATAGCCGGACTCAATGTATAAAGGCGAAGCGAAGTCTTTCGATTGCGCGAGAAATGTATTCAACATCACCATGAAAATGGGAACAAATAAACATGAATATGTCATGAAACATGAAATTCTATACTATCTAATGTTACTACTATAAATTTTTTTGTAAAAGAACAAGAGCGATTTGTTTTCTATCGCTTGAATCCCCCATATAACGCCGTGGACGTGCAAACGCATTGACTCGTGAAAGATTATTGATCATATGCAAACGTAAAAATAAACTCCTGTCCTGCCGATACCCAGAACCCAAAATAATACTATTAATTATGAGGAAAAACATGAAATCTAAAGGCAATTGTGCCATGATATAAAATTTGATTTTACATCTTCAGAGCTTGCTTCATGAGCTTGGCCAAATCGTTTGTCTGTGATGATTAGTCAGCAAATTACCCCACATACATTGAACTTCCGAGAATTAAACTTACGATTGGATCTCTCATCATCGTGAAATGATTTCCATCTATGCTCATACATTTGATGTTTCCCTCTCCGACCAACTTCTCCCATCCATTGTTTCCGAGATCTTTACGATCGTGAGTCAACCAGTCCATAGAGTTGGGCATCCTCACCTTAGGATCCCACTCTGGCTTAAGGTCATCTTCCTTGTGGACGATGCCATCACGAGCCCAGATAGCGACCGTTTGTGGCATGTTGACAGTGTTGATGGATGGTAGAGATCCCAAGTGATCAGAGTAGGCAGTGAGTTCGCGCACGGTGGAGAAGAAATGCGGAAGGAGCCATTTTGGCAATGACTCAAGTCCACCATCGCCAAGAAGACCAACCTTGGCACAATATTGATGGAAGGAAGCTGGGAGGGCTTCAAGTCCAATAGGAAACGGCGAATCGATCAAGACAAGTTTCTCGACCTTCTCACCCTTTGCAATCAATTGACGGGTGCATTCGTAAGCAAGTACACCTCCAGCAGACCAACCTCCAAGGAGATATGGTCCATGTGGTTGACGTCGTTGGATTTCGGCGAGGTAAATCTGTGTGACTGCTGGAACACCGATATTGAAATCTGTGGGGTCTTTCATGAAAGGGCAATTGAGACCAAAGACGGCTAGATCTTGGTCAATTTGAGGAAGTGGGGCATACGAAGAAGCGACACCAGAACCATCTGGAAGAAGGAAGAGTGTGCGAGTTGCGGTCTTTGGGTTACCTTGCAAAAGGATAGACTTTGATGGAGGGTATTGAGACACATTGATGGGTTTGGCGACTTGAGTTGGAGCAGCTGGTTGTACCGATGCGGAAGTCACCTTAGTAATCTTTGTTGTCTTCTTAATCTCAACAACCTTTGGCTGCTTGACTGCTCTTAGACCCAAAGTTGTTTCAATCTTTTCGACGCTGGTGTTCTCGACCAACAGCTCAGAACTTAGATTCAGGCCAGTCTTCTCTCTGAGCGCACCCAAGATGCTCAAACTCATAAGAGAATCCATACCCATGGTAGCCAGATCTGTGTTATCAGTGATCTCCTCAATCTCAACGCCCATCTCCTCTGCAATGGTAGATCTTATGATTTGAATGATCATTGCATTCTCGCTATCGTCGCCGACGGGAGAGCGTTCAGGGTCACTTTCAAGTAGATCAAAACCGTCATCCCCAACTTCGCTTGAGTGGCTGGAAACCATCTCCGGGGTAGACATGCCAGAGCTTTCAGCACTATCATCGTCTTCGAATCTAGTCATGTAAGCTTTGAGATGATCTACAGTGGGCTCATGCTCAAAGACACTGCTCTGGAAGTCAATCTCAAGATCCTCACGGAATCGGCCAGAAATGCTCAAACCGAGAAGTGAGTCGACTCCCATATCAGAGAATCTCATTGGGCCTGCCAACTCAGCGACATCGCACCCGATTTCCTCAGCCATGATTGCCAATGCTTTGGAGAAGATACCCCTTGAAACTGGTTTGCTGACAATTTTGAGATTAGACTTGGAGACAGACTTTGATGGTTTGGATGCAACGGCTTTGGTTGGAGCTGGAGCTGCTTTGGCACCACCACGAGCTGGAATAGCTTTTGGTGCGAGGAGGGTCTGAAGAAGGGTGCGGGGTACGCGCTGGAATTTGATACC